GGGGGGGGGGGGGGGGGGGGGCAATCCTTTAAAGCTAAAATTTCTGAGAGCATAACCTCCATCTGTGATTTGTGAGCCGATAATAACCTCAAGCTCGTAAGGAAAAAACAAGGCAAGCCAATCCAAACCCAAGCATATCATATAGAAATGGAGCTAAGCTCAAGCAAAAATTCAATCTGAGTACTCAAAAGGCTCAATTCGATTAACCCCCTATAAAGGACAAAAGACATGGCTCCTCAAAGTAAAATACCTAAAGAAAACAACGAGGGCAAAATGTTTTTTGCCCTATTTTCCATTTGGAATTTCAACCATAAATGACAGCAAAACTCAGGTAAGTTTGAATCCCAAAAAGAGGTATTTTAGACAAATTCCAGTGTTTATTTTGCATCATAATGATATTTTTTGACAGCATCTCTGCAACCCCAAAAGGATTTTTCTGATCATCCAATAAGCATACGCATACATCGGGTATACAGCAAACAATGCACCAAGAAAAAGAAGCTCAAAAAATTGGTCGTTGTCATCTCCAAAGCAGCAATGCTTATTGCCAGAGCAGGTACTGCCATGAACAATTGTGGTGTTCCTTTCATGGTTGTAAATACTAGGATTGATAGCACCTTAAAATTTACAGGTATTGATAAAAAAGGACTCTCTTGATTGTCGCATGTTCTTCAGAACAAAGGTAGCATGATATTAAATCAAAATTTTAGCAACAACCACCTTTATTCACACCACAAACACAAGGAAAATATGATGCCATTATCAATCGAGTCTCATGCATAACGTCGTCCATCCATGAGAATTATGGTGGAGAATGACTGCCCTACTTAATCTTTGAATTAGCAAAATTTGACAGCCCTACCTTTACTTCACCAAAGAGTAACTCCACAGTTTGAACCAACCACAAGAAATATTCATTTTTTATCATTTAGCCCATAAAATTAACAAGAAAATCCTCAACCCAAACAATCATGGTTCAAGGTCGTGACATCGGCCAACAACTCAGAGGGCACCAATATGCATTGATCAAGTCATATCAATATTAACTGATACTTTGAACCATACAAACAATTTCACCAAAAAAACACCCCAATATTGGTGTGGGTCGTAAAGGACACGTGTTATCTTCAAATTTCACAGATACCTCATCAGTAGGCAACTAGTTATCCCAAGTACTTGTGATCTTTTTTTCTTGATAAGCAACTTTTAAGCTACATGTCAGTTATCATTGCGTGTAACTTAATAATTAGTTCCTTAGGCATTTGTGAACATGGGATCACAACTCCTTTTTAAAAAGTAAACCAGCTGAAACGAAAGGGAAATGTTTATTGCTACTCTGCTGCGGGATGCCACACAGCTTATTGTGTCTTTGATACTCTACTTCAAGTAATTCGTATTTGTCTTGTCGAGAATATTATTGTCCATTTTGGCCAATTAGGTGGCATGAGCTATTCTTTCTATGGTGGATATGCAGACCTACCAACCTACCTACCTACATATAACTGTATATTCCAAAAAATTACACACATCCAAATATTTTGAGCTCATTGTGTGTATTTATGAGAAGCGATTGCTTGTATTTACGGGTTTAAATGCATGTATGAATCTTCCTGTCAAGATGGTGGCAAGAAATGAGAATTTTCAAGATCTCCAACATGATTTTTCATCAGTTTCAAGTTCATCAAAAAATTGTCCACCAAATGTAAGAAACCTATCTCAACTTATCAGAGATCCAGATTACTGTTTGCACATGCAAAAATCTATATCAACCAGAAGGACATATGATGTCAGTATTGGCAGTGAAAATTCATACCAACTTAATCAGGAAACAGTGCACAAAAATGGAGGACCTTAACGTGCATGTCAGATTCCAACGAAAATTAGGAAAAGGAGCACCCTTTTTGGCCTCACAAATGCGGGACGACTCATGGAAACATCAATACCACGGAACAAGATTTCAAAAAGGAAAAATCACTTTCTCTGGCCTCACAAACCACGCATTTTAATTTTTGAATACCAAACCCCATATCACAAAACTTAAACGTTCTTTCAAACAATGAAGTTCCTTCGTTCACCTGACATATTAATAAGAATAACAGGTAGCAAACATCAAGTCCCACTTAAATAACTAAGAAGAAAAATAAAATATAAAACGAAAACCTAGTTGGCCAAATGACCCATAAAATCTTTATCACAACCGCATAAGAAAAATAAATCACCTTAGCCCCACTAAACAATCCCAAGGAATTCCAAGCAGAAATACCAACAATCAAAACAGAAGGATCAAAATTCAACTAAAATTAAAAACACCAAAAAGAAACCACTCTTGGCTTCAACATATCCACAAAGTTTCACACTAAATACCAAAACCTGCAACAAAATCATCAACGAAAATTTGAACAAGAGAATAAATTCTCTTGGCCCCACAAAACACATGAATTTCAAATTACAACCCATATGAAAATAACCAAAATTCCATGTTGGTTTTAGCAAAAACACGTATAAATCAAAAAAAAAAAGTTTAAAAAATAAATTAAGGAGCACGAAAGAGGAGAGTCACCTTTCTTGGCCAGCAGTGTCCCAAATCTGAGCTTTGATGACCTTACCGTCGATGTTCAGACTCTTTGTAGCAAACTCAACTCCAATAGTGGACTTGGACTCAAGATTAAACTCGTTCCTAGTAAACCTCGAGAGAAGATTAGATTTTCCCACACCTGAGTCGCCAATCAGAACCAACTTGAACAGGTAGTCATATTCATCTTCAGCTCTATACCCGGCCATCTCTCTCTCTCTCGCTCGCTCGCTCGCTCGCTTTCGAGCTTTCACTTTGTTCGGGTTTGATTGGTTTGGCCGTTCTTTGAAATCTGAAGTGGAAATAGATGGGACTCTTGTCGGGGTTGGCTAGATTTTTGGAATCGAAAAAGAAGGAACCGTAAATCACCATTTACTTCTCTTCCTTCAAATCATTAAGTTAATTTTATTTAGGATTAATGTAAAAAGATGGTTTGAATTTTAATTTGTACTATTAAAGATAAAAATTTTTAATTTATACTCTCAAAGATAGAAATTTATATCAATGTACATTATCAAAGATCAAAATTTTTAATTTGTATCTTCAAAAATAAAAATTTATATCAATGTGCACCCCAAAAATAAAAAATCTCAATTTGTACCCTCAAAAATAGAAATTTGTATCAATGTGTACCTAAAATTAAATTGATAAATTATACCTAGATCTCCTCATGTTTGTCATTTAATCATTTAGACCCCTTCACATTTAGAATATTACCCTTACATCTCATGACGTTTATACACGTGTAACACGTAACCCCTTTTCGTTGATATCTGTTAGTATAACCGTTAAAAATATGATTTTATCCTAATAAAAAATTATAATTTCATATTACCCTTTATTTTGTGGGTTCGATATACTCTAAAGTTCAAAATCAAACTTACCATTTGAATGTCTAATAGAATGTATATATTTGTATAAATTTGATTTTGAATGTCTAATCCCTTTTCGTTGATTTTGAATTTTAGAGTATATCAAACCCACAAAATAAAGGGTAATATAAAATTATAATTTTTTATTATGATAAATCATATTTTTTAATTGTTTTATTAACAGATATCAACGAAAAGGGATTACGTGTTACACGTGCACAAACGTCATGAGATGTATGAGTAATATTTTAAATGTGAAAGGGCTCAAATGATTAAGTGACAAGCATGAGAGGATCTAAGTATAATTTATCAATTTAGTTTTATATGCACATTGATACAAATTTTTATCTTTGAGTGTGCAAATTGAGATTTTTGATCTTTGGGGGTACACATTGATACAAATTTCTATCTTTGAGGGTGTAAATTAAAATTTTTTATCTTTGGGGGTATAAATTAAGATTTGAACTATCTTTTGGGGTGTAACTTGTAATTAACCCTTTTATTTATGAGTAATATACATAGATTTAAAAAATTTATATTTACACTATTTTAAAATGTCACTTGAAAAATATTTTTTTCAATTGTACCCTCTAATAAAGAAAGTATTATATTCTTATCTTTTGTTGATGTTTAATCTTTTTTTAATAATAATCTAAAGTCAAATTTAGATGTTTAAATTGTTAAACCCTACAAATTATGCAATAAGTATTCAAATGATTGAATAATAATAAGGAAAATGCTATTTGGATCTAAAAATCTGACATAATTTGCTGACTTAATGACGTGACTTCATTGGAATCATTGGATAAACACCAAATTTCAATATTTGATGTAGTCCACAGTTAATTCAAAGGTCATAGTGAATTAAGTCAGCAAATTAGGTCAGTAAATTAGGTCTCAATAGCATTGTTTTAATAATAAATACATCAATTGCTAGATTAATTGTCTTACTTAATTACCAACAACATGATTAGGTCATTTTAATCCCTCCACAATAATAATGTAGCATCCCTTCATCTTTATCAATGTACATTTTATAACGCCCCAAAAACCACCTTAAACGGTATTACAATCTAACACCATTCATAGCATGAGAGCCTGAATAAAATCCATAAATAAAAGAGACTTCATTCATCCTCCATAAAGTATTTACAACCATATCCAAAAGAATATGTCAAACCATGACATTTACAATCCAAAAAGGTTACATCAATATAGCATAGCGGAATTACAAAAGGATTAACTTTACAAATCTCAAAATAAATTCCCTAGTCTAAAACAAAAATGAATATAACTCTAGGCATCCGGTTCGGGATCCCCGTTCCCCTTTAGAGGAGCTCCCCAATGCGCGGGTTCATCTACTCTTAACTCCTCCTCATGGGCGAAATCTGAAAAGATATTATTTGTAGGGGCTGAGCGATAAGCTCTGTGGCAACTTTCTTTCCATACTCATACAAGGTTTAGAAAACAAGTAAAACAATGCGGTCTCATTTTCACAAATAGCATATATGAATTTTGAAGTAAAACAGGGACATTTAAACAGATCTCTAGTTTAAGCATTCACAATAATTTAGATAAACAATGAAACCAAGTCACAATTAGCAACCATAATCATTTCCAACAAGTTCTTATAGAGTCTCATACCTCCATAAGCTCTTGTGGGAAATGAAATAGTAACACCATAATACAAAAGAAACATTCATTCCACCATCGAAATATTATATTCCCTTTGGCAAGTGGCATATTTAAAAGTAACTTCCATCCCCTTCAAGGCTTTGTTTCCCATAATCGCATACTTATAAGTAACCTCGGTCGTTAGATGTCCTTTTTGGTGGTAGCATACTTACAAGTAACCTCCACCCTCTTCAAGTATCCAACACCTAACCGCATACTTAGAAGTAACCTTGGTCCATAAATATCCTCTTTTGGTAGGTAGCATACTTACAAGTAACCTCTACCCCCTTCAAGTATCCCATACATAACCGCATACTTACAAGTAACCTCGGTTCATAAATATCCTCTTTTGGTAGGTAGCATACTTACAAGTAGCCTCTACCCCCTTCAAGTATCCCACACATAACCAACCATTATCAAAATTCCCAAATTTAACCTGTATTATTTCAATAGAACATTGAAGGAAAAATGAAAGAGATCGTCACAACATCGTTTCATTTACCCACACAACGCACTAAAGTTCTCAAAACCAAGCTTGAGTGAATATAGAGAGAGAGTTTCATATTTCCCCAAAATTAGGGTTTTTAAAGCAATAAAAGAGATTTCATGTGTAACCAACCCTAACTTTGTTTAAAACATGCCATAACTACAAGGAACTCATAGTAAGTACATACAAATATGAGTCACAAGATACATATATTTTAGCCTTAGCCTCAATGGACAAGCATGGAAGAAAATCCCCTACCTTGTGTTCTTGAAGAAATCTAAGTTTTGATCTTCTTGAAGTAAAATTTTCCTTTAAATTTTGTGTTTTTCTCTTCCTCTCTCCCTCTCTAAGTGTTTCTAGGGTTTGGTGTAGTGAAATGAGGCTAATGAATGCAACATTAAGTATTTATAGTGGAGGAGGGATCGGTTATTCGCGAACAAAAAAACTCAGATTTTTAGAAGATCTTTTGGAAGGTTGGCTCTTCTGGACCAACATTTCCTCTAACCTTCCGAAAGGTTTTTGTCGACCTTCTGGAAGGTTTGCTCTCTGGACCAATATTTAACTAGATCTTCCGGAAGGTTTTCATCGACCTTCCGGAAGGTTTGCTCTTCTGGAACTACTGTTCACGTTAACCTTCTGGAAGGTTTTACCTTCTGAACAGGCACTAAATTTGTTGACCTTTCAGAAAGTTTTAGGACCTTCCGGAAGGTTTTGCCTGTTTCGGTGCAAATCCTTCCTTTTTCATTTTCAATCCATTCCAAACTCTCCTAACCTCAACCCAAACTCATCCAACCTAACTTTATACATCAAACCTAGTTGGTTTAAGATCTTTTGTTCACAATTCCTTTTATTTATCCATAGTATCCCAAAAATACAATTATACTTCAAAAACTTCCAACTTTCACCCTATACTCTATTTCCTCAAATAACGTTTTTATTACTACCCTTTCAACTTACCCTATTCATGCATACAACATTACATCATTTAGCATTGGAAATACATAATAAAATTGTCATATCAACATACACATGTGGGGGTTTACACATTTAATGCGGCTTGATTCTTCACTTCTTTTCCAAAATTTCTATTTCTTGTATCCATATATTAGAAATCCAACTTTGTTTCTAGTATCTATTTAGAGTACATGACTGATTTACTTTTTAATTATGTGTTGTGAATTAATTTCAGTTGATTTTTTAAATAAAGATCATTTGGTTTGTTCATTGAAGTTTTATTCAAAAAAATAGAAATTGGCTTTGAAAACCAGATGGTCTTAGATTCAGCCATGGACGAACCTCTAATGGAGAGAGGATTTGGATATTTCAGGTATCTATCTCATCCTAACTACGTAGTTTGATTATGAACCATTTCCTTTTTCTTATTTCTGTGTGTTGTAACTTTTGAATTCAAGTTTCTTAGAATTGAATTTCTTTTAATTTGGTATATTATGAATTTGTAGGTGGTCACATTACAAAATGAGATGCGAGATCAGAGGACCTTGTTCTGATGAGATAGTCGCATACAGGCATTGCCATAATGAATCTAAGGTTAAGCTCTTCCCTTTGTTTTTTCGATTTTGGAGTTAACAAAATTTCTTTTTATGCTATTTTTCTCTTTAGACGATTACCATATTTAGTAGTGCATTACATTTCATTTTGTTTGGATAAAACATCTAATTTTATTTAGCATTGAACAGAATTCACTATAGTTAACTAAATCTCAGTAGATGATGCTACTAAAAATGCATCCCTTCATCTTTTCTCTCTCTCTCTTTGTTTTTATTACTGGAAATGCACCCCTTCATCTCTCTCTCTATCATCTACTTAACAGTCGGCTATCATCTACTTAGCAACACATATGAAAAATGTGACAGATTTCTTAGTTGGTCTCAATACAATGATATAGGTTTGACAATGGGTGGATCTAGAAAAATCTTGAAATGGTCCATATGTAACACACATGTGCATCAACTAGTAGATTTAAAATGTGAACTTAATCAATCACTATCATTGATTTCACTGTGAGTCCTAACATTTATTAGAACTCATTATTTATTCAATGATTGTGATTGATTAAGTCTACATTTTAAGTCCAAATAAAATTTTCCTTTATTTATACCCACCCATCATTTACTAAAAGTCATCCCATTTATATTCACTAATTAAAAACTAAATT